GACGGCCAAAGATCGCCCGAAGACGCCCAACAGGGCCCCAAGACAGCCCAAGAGGCCTCCAAGACGCCCCAAGGGCCTTCCAAGAGGCCTCCGAAGAGGGCCCCAAGAGGCCAAAATCGTTGATTTTCATTGTTTTTTCTATGTTTTTTGCGTTCTGGCTTTTTCGGCTTCCGGACGCTCCAAGACGGCCCAAGAGGCCCCCAAGACCGCTCCAAGACGGCCCACGAGGCTCCCAAGACGGCCCCGGAACGGCCCAGGAGGGCCCCCAAGACGGCCCAAGTGCCGCCCAAGACGGACCAAGAGGCCCCAAGACGGGCCCAAGAGGGGCTCAAGAGGGGAACCGAGAACTGAAAAATCGAGCCCTCCGCCCCAGAAGGCGCCCAGGAGGCCCCAAAAAGGCCCCAAGAGGCCCCCAAGAGGCCCCCAAGACGCCCCAAGAGGCGCCCAAGAGGCCCAAAAGAGGCCCCAAGAGGCCCCAAAACGGCCCCCAAGAGGCCCCAAAACTCGGCTAGCCCACAACGGTGCGACAATATGGGCCGGCGGAATGAGCGAAGCGATTAAATAACCAAAGAAAAATCCACCATTCGCCCCCAGACTATGCTTTTACTATTTTGTTGAATCTTCCTCCTGTAGAGGAACGCGCCCGCCTCACCCCTATCGCTGGCCACTCCGCAGGCGGCCGGCCCCCGGCACGCGCGGCGGGGGCGAGGCGCGGGAGCCCGGCAGGGCCAGCGGCCCCCCACGGGGAGCGCCGCTGCCGCGGCATCGGGAGCGGCCAAGAGGGGGGCGCCCAAGAGAAGGGTGCAAATCATGGCGGGCGGCACGCGCGCGGCCCAGGGGGGGGGGCCGGGGACGTGATGAAATAAGAAGAGGCGCCATGAGATCTGGGGAAACATCATGGCCCACGCCAGGATATCTACCCCCCCCCCCTAGTCATCACCCCCCTCTTTGCCGCCCCCGATGGCAGGAAGCTGTGGCGGCGCACCCGGAAACCCTGCCGGCCGCCACGCGGCGGCACCCGGGCGGACCCTCCGCCACCGGCGCACCGGTGCCGACGGCCAAGAGGGGGCGCTGCGACGTGAGGATGTGGGACAATCGGCGGCGGGCGACGGGGGGGGAAGTGAGTAGGGAATCGAGTCGAACTCTATACACCGACGCTTCTTCCGGCCCTGCATTCGAATTTGCACTGGAGAGCGGATACTGGTGTATACGGGACCCTCGTGTATACATGTTTCGTTGTTTCCCAGGGACATCGGGGAAAAAAGTATACACCACACCACCCCAGCGTCGTCCTCGACCCTCAAGTCCTGGGATTGAAAAACAGCCCGCCACTGGTAATGTATATGTTCCAGTTTCCGAATGAGAAGGAGAAGGCCTTCTCAGAGGGCGGCGGGGCTTCTCGGAAGTCCTCGCGCCTCCTGAGGGGAGCGTTCGGTGTCTTCAGGGAAGGCTTGGGGAACTTCTCAGAAGGCCAGGGGGCTTCCGAGCCTTCTGAGAAGGCCCGCCCCTTCTCACTCCCCCCCTCGCTCGCCGCTGGGGTGCACGGTCACCGTCGTGGCCAGCACCCGTAACGTTAGGTCGGGCGCGTCCTCATACGGGCGGATGTTGGACGAAAAATAGGAATAGTTAAGACAGCTTCACAAATATCCACCCAAAGATATGTTTTAACTATCTTTGAATATTCCTCCTGTAGATGAACATGCCCGCCTTAACCGGAACGTTGCGGCGCCTCCTGGGCAGGTACAGGGCGCTGCAGCTCGCGCAGGCGGTCTCCAGGGGAAAGAGGGTCCCACCGCGGGCTTGCGCGGCACCTGGAAGACAACGGCCTCTGCAGGGAGTAGAACGGCACGTCTCTGGAGCAGAAGGCTAGGGCGGCCGTCACGCATCAGGCGGAGAGCCTCGTTGCGCAGCTGCGCGAGGAAAGCCGCGAGGAAGCGGAGGAAGAGGTACCGCCGCTGGTGCGTCTGTGACTGGAAACCGCCGCACCGCCTGCAGTGCCACAAGGGTGGTTGCGAGTCGTGCTCGGCTGCGCGGTGTGGTTCGTGGCACGTGGAATTGCCTGCTTGGGTGCTGTTTGGGTGCCGTATATCCTACACTGCATCTGCGCGCTGGTGTCAGGGTTGGCGCAATACTTCGCTGTGGAGTCTGCGCCAGAGGCACCGTGGCAAATGCAATACCCAAATGCAGCCGTGCACGTCTTCGACACCAGGGGCGGGAGGGCGCCCCCAGCGGAGTCCTGCAGCTACCGGTACCAGTCTTCGCTGCCATACTGCGCCTACCTCTGCGGAGGATGCGTCCTGATGAATGTCGGGCCTTTCTTCCGATTCCTGCTTGCTGCTGGTTCGTCTTCTCTGGCGTCAACGTTTCATCGGCACTTCTTTGAACACGGAGGCGTCGAGTGCCACTACGGTGGCGGAATGCACGCAAATCCTTACGGCATGTGGCATTCAACAGGCTATGCTTGGCCACGTTCTACAGGTCACAATAACGTGATGATGTACCCAACAATGCAGTCTGGAGTGCTGGCGGTGGTGCCCGCGAGGCATTGGTGGTGACATAGTTCTCTTAGGGGGGATTGGCCTTGCACAGGCTTAGTGGCGTCGAACGGCTAGGGCTTTCAGGCACCCCTTCACTTCTGTCTTCCCCTCCCCCTCCCAACCCCTCTCCTAGCTCTGATTGCGTCTTTTGAACATGTTCAGGTCTCTCTTGGAATAGCATACGTGCATCTGTATTGCATGCGTGCAGGTTCAATTAATGAGTCACGTTTTTGATGCGATGCCATGGGCACTTCGTGTGCGTCTGAATACAGCCTCAAGGTTTAGGCTGGCGCTTGAGAGGCCACATTTCCCGCACACCCAGGTGGGTCTTGAGGGTTGATTCAGGAAAGAGAGCCTTGAACACAGAGAGACGAAGAGCCAGCGAGGTAGAGAGACGGGCAGACAGAGGCACAGAGAGACGTAAACACAGAGGACACAGAGAGACACAGAGAGACACAGAGAGACAGAGAAACAGAGAGACAGAGAGACAGAGAGGCAGAGGGAGAGAGAGTGAGAGTGAGACTGAAAGAGAGCTAGAGAGAGAGAGAGATAGAGAAAACACAAAATTAAACTCGCATGACTGGCCGTCTCAACAAGTGCGCGCGAGTGCGTGCACATGCGCGCACGCGCGATGGCGCGCACGAGACCCTTCTTGTCCGCGGACTGTTGGACGATCCGCCAGAAGGTGAACTCTCCCAGAGACTGCAGAACGCGAATCCACGAATGCGCGCGCATGCAGGAAGGAAGATCCGCCGGTGAGCGGATAATATCATAACGCGCAGTTGGGAACTCGGCACGAGAAGGGAAGGCAACTTTATTAGGGGAACAAAAAGTGGCATAAACATAAAAACTCGGAGGTCCGTGCGGATTTCTCGGATCGGCGCTGGACCCCCCTCCCTGGCGCGCGGAGCGCGCCAGGGGCGGCGCCGGAGGCGCCGCCAAGGGGGGTCCAGCGCGGATCCGAGAAATCCGCGCGGACCTCCGAGTCTTTCTGTTTATGCCATTTTTGTTGTTCCCCGATGTGTGGGAAGCCGAGTTCCCAAGGCTCCGGCTGACAAGTCCGGCTCGGCCGCGACGTCGGCACCCGCCCCGTCTGACTACCTACCAGACCACCCCAACCCAACCCGAAGACCCGACTTTCGGGTTGGGGGGGTAAGGGTTCCACATGTGTTTTTCAATGTTTCCCGCCCCCCCCACTGGAAATCGAGGGTAAATCTGAGCCTTCGGGTTGGGCTGGGGTGGTTTGGTGGGTGGTGACCGTCGAAGAAGCGCCCCGCCCCGCCTCTATGTTTATGCTTATGTCATCCTTCGTTCCCCTATGTATGGGAAGCCGAGTTCCCCAGGCTCCGGCTGACAAGTCCGGCTCGGCCGCGCGGCGTCGGCACCCGCCCCGTCGAAGAAGCGCCCCGCCTCACCGCGGCAGACGAGCCCATCGGCGAGGGACAGGCGGCACCACCCAGGGGAGCGGCCTCCGCGGGCGCGGCGGCCGCCGGAGAGCGCGGGAAGGGCAGGGGGAGCGCGGCCTCCGGCGCGACCTCGGCCAGTCCACGAGGCCGCGTCGCCACGACCGCCGGCACCGGTCGGTGGGAGGAGGAGGGCCGGAGCACGACGCAGGAGGGCGTGGAGAGCGGGTCGGGCTGCCGCCCGTCCCCCGAGGGACCCAGAGATCCAACGTAATGAAAAAATCAAGACGGAAGTTTTTCACAATTTTCGGCCTCAAGGGGCCCTCGCCGGGCCCCGGGACCGTCAAAAAACGACTCAGGATGAAAAACTGGTCCCGGGGAACGGGTCGAGACCTCCGGGGGCCCCGTATTGAAAAAATCACGACGTTGGATCTCTGGGGAGGGAGGGAGGAGGAAGCACCGCGCGACGCCTGGAGTGGGAGGAGGGAGCACCAGCCTAGAGCGGGCTGGGACCTGGGCATCCAGGAACGCCTGCGTACGCTCGGAGACCGGCGCGGAACCGACCGCACCGGCAACGGATGCGAGCACGAGACGCACGTGCGTGCGCACCCAGCGGCGCGCAGACGTGAGGGCCCACGGTCTCGGCGGCCCGGGCGGAGACGGGGAGAAGGAGGGGAGTCTGCCGGCGGCGAGGGAGCGGGGGGGCAAGTGAGAAGGAGAAGGCCCTCTCAGAAAGCTCGGCAGTCCCAAGCCTTCTGAGGGGTGTCCTAAGCCAACCCCGAAGACACCGAAAACTTTCCAGAAGGCGCAAGAGCTTCTGAGCAGTCCCGTCACCTTCTGACAAGGCCTTCTGTTTCTCACTTTCCCCACTCGCTCGTCGCCGAGTCTGAGTCCCTGGGGAAGGCATTGCAGAACTTGGACCAGCGCCACGAGGTGACCCGTAAGGTGCGGGCCTCCTCTATTCTCGATCGATCCGGAATCTTGCCATCCAGATCCTCTGGGGGAATAGGATACAATGATGTAAGGGACGGGCGCAAACGCACGAATGAGGACGCTCGGCCTTGTCTGCGGCGCAGAAGGAGTAGTAGGTAGAGCTGCGAGCTGCCTGCGGGCTATGCAACTTGTTTGGATTCTCTTCCCACTGGGAAGATCCTGTCTTCCCTCTCCTCCTGTTCCTCGGGCTCCTCTAGCAGCTGAACCTGCCACAACCATCATCCTGCTCTCCTCTGGCTCTGACTCCGAGTCATCTCTTGTCTTCAACTGTTGCTTACAGACCGTCTCCTTTTTCCTTCCTGCTCCTATGCTGTCATGCCTACTTCGAGCTCTGCTCGTCCTGAGATCCCATTGCTGGCGCTGCTGTTTCGTACTCCATGCTCTGAATCGTATCTCTTGTCCTCACTGTATCAGTTTGCCGAACTCACAGTGCTGCAAAACACAACCAAGCGGAGAGACAAAGAGGAGCAAGCGGAGAGAGGGGGGGTAAAAAGGAAAGGGGAAGACCAGGTGCTGCGACGTTCCCCAATTGGAGCAGGTCGTGCAAAGATTTCTGGTCGTGAAAAGGACAACGGAAGCGCTGTGCCCAAGTGAAAAAAAAGTTCGGGGAAAACTGTGTTGAACGGTCGCGCACTCGCACACAGCACCAGCGCATTCGCACACGAGGCGGCATCTGTCAGGACGCCAGTGGAAGCGCCTCGCGAGGTCGAAGCGCAGCAGACGGAGCCCACCGACGAGGAGACCACCACCACAGACACACGCGGCCGCCGAGGTACAGTGGGGGCGTTGACCTAAGGAGCCCTAAATAAGGAACGAAGCCCCTTTCTCCCATAAGTTGAACTTCGACTTCCCATGGGAAACCTCAGGAAAACCGAAGGCAAACTGCAGAACCATCAAGGAACACCGAGCCCCTCCCCAACGAAAAGGGTTCCTTCTCCAGGGCCCCGACCGTACACGGTGCCGCCCAGCAGCAGCACTCCCCAGAGGAGCCCCACGCCCACCGCGCCACCCCGCAGCAGGTCGCGGAGATCCACCACAGCATACGACACGGCGACACGACTGCCGCCACCGCAGCCGAGGGAGGCACCACCCACGCGTGCCAGCATCCAGGCCCAGGCCATGATCCAAGCCATGGATTTTTTTCCCCACAAGCAATCCTCGCGGCCATGCTTGGTTAATATATCTTCTGGCGTGCTGCGGTCAGGTCACAGCGACATCCACCACGCAAGGGTTCACAAATAATCTGGTACACAAATAATTGGGCCATGGACACTGACCAACTGCCCACAAGCGACGTAGCGGTGAGCAGCACCAGCGACAAGAGCCGCCGAGGCACCGAAGGCGCGCCACCAGACTCAACGAAGAAGGCTACTTCCCAGTCACTCTGTTCTTCAGGACAACGCTGACCACCCTGACGGCGACGTCAACCAGGTCCGCGCGGCATGTCAGGACTGAACGTCAGAGGACAAGTGCAACGACAGATGTCTCACCATCAAGAAGGGCGAGAACATCCGCATCACACGGATTGAGCCGTCGCCCTACTCGAGAGCGTGGACACCCTCCGGCTACTGGGTCAGGAGAGACCAGATCACGCAACCCACCAAGCACACGAGCACGGCGAGTAGCCTCAGCTACCACCACTTCAGACAGAGGACGTCGACCCCAACAGCCTGATCGACTACAGAGCGTACATCTCCGGCATCACCGACGCCATCGTCAGCCTCCGCCTCACAGTGGAAACCGAGGACCTGGACGAGTACCGCCGCGTCGTGCTGGGCAGGATGCACCACGCCGTCTGCCGAGAGAGGACTGCGGGCCGCCGCACCCTCCGGACGGAGATACACGGCCCTGCAGCAGACACGGGATCCAGCGAGAGCATCCACGACCATCCCCAAAAGACCCACCGATCCGACGCAACACGCAGCCACGCCTCCACCTCTCCGCTGCCCCTCCGAGGAGAGGCGGAAGCCAAACGCCGAGAGCAGGCCGCGCACGCGGCAGCGACCTCCGCCCGCTGCCTAGCAGCCCACGATCCCCTGCCCAGCGCCGGGAGCAGGACCCGTGGCACGGGCCATCCTCGCCTCGAGGAGCTCCAGCACCAATCCCGACAGCTCCCAGCGTCAACCTCTACGGCGGCAGCCGCCCCCCGAGGGGCGCAGTCCTCCCACGCCTCCCCCAGTTCTGCTTCACAGACGGAGCAAGAACACTACACCACATCCCTACTACGCATTCACTGCCACCACGGCAGCAGTAGCACCAGCTACTCCACGACGCGGCACCAGCAGCCTCCCCACCTACTCGCCCCCAGCTCCAGAATACGCCTACATCCACTGCCGCAACCTCGTTTACCGCAGCTACATTGTATGATCCTTCCTCGCAAATTCAGTGGGCAACGGCAACTCCACCTCTACATCTACAACAGCGGCCTCCTGTGCGACCTGCACCTCCACTGCCTCAACGTCTGCAACCCCATCCTCCTCGGGCACACTCTCTACCTGCTCCTGCTCTGAGGCACCTCCAGCCCAAACTGACCTGCCCCTCCCTCCCTCAACTGTTCCGCCTGTACGCCCCTCTCCCCCCCCTTCCACCCGCGAACCTTCACCACCCCCCTCGCGCTGCAGGGACCAGAAGCCTGCGGATTCTTCCTCGACTTCGGCCTCTGTCGGGGGCCATGGCTGGGCCCAGGGAAACTCCAAGAACGTATCAGCGCCAGGGGGGGGGGGAGGAGGAGGAGGAGGAGGAGGAGAGGAGGAGGAGGAGGAGGAGGAGGAGGAGGAGGAGGAGGAGGAGGAGGAGGAGAGACGACGGGGCCGCCGTCGGCACCACACATGTGTCCGCCGCTGGCGAGGCAGCGTTGGCTGCACCAGCGGCAGAGCTGAACGGGGGGCACCGAGAAGCGAGCTGGCCAGCGCGCAGGCAGGACGGGCGCCGTCGGCACGCGGGGCCCCCCTGCAGCAAAGGCAGGGGGGGGGGGGGGGCGTGGAGCGCCTCGGCCCTCGGGCCCAAGAGCCACGCCGAGGGGGCTCCCGCCACGCCTCCTCGGGGGGGGGGGGGCGCTCGGGCCACCCCACCCCCTCACCCTACATCACTCGACTCCCTCCTCTCGTGCGTTCCCTCCCTCCTCCTCCTCCTCCTCCTCCTCCTCCTCCTCCTCCTCCTCCTCCTCCTCCACAGCAGCAACAGCAGCAAGCACGGCCGCCACCCCGTACCGTCCACAACGCTCCCTCGCCTTGCCCTTCCACCCCGCACCACACCAGGGCTGAACCTAAGCGGCGTTTTCGTGTTCGTATTGCTTTTCGTTTTCCCTCGTTTTGCCTTCGCCTCGCCTGGAACACAAAGCAACACAAAAAATATCCCAGTGCGACCCTACCTAGGAGTTGGAGCCTCTAGGAAAGCAACATTAGTAGGAGCGGTTAACGCCGTCCTCCTCCTTCTCCTCATCGTCGTAGTTGTAGTTGTAGTTGTAGTTGTAGTTGTAGTAGTAGTAGTAGTAGTAGTAGTAGTAGTAGTAGTAGTAGTAGTAGTAGTAGTAGTAGTAGTAGTAGCAGCAGCAGCAGCAGCAGTAGTAGTAGTAGTAGTAGCAGCAGCAGGAGTAGTAGTAGTAGTAGTAGTAGTAGTAGTAGTAGTAGTAGTAGTAGTAGTAGTAGTAGTTAGTAGTAGTAGTAGTAGTAGTAGTGGTAGTAGTAGTAGTTGTTGTTGCTGTTGCTGTTGCTGTTGTAGTAGTAGTAGTAATAGTAGTAGTAGTAGCAGCAGCAGCAGTAGTAGTAGTAGTGAAAGTAAAAAATAGAAGCAGTAGTAAAAGTAGTAGTATAAGTAGTAGTAAAAGTAGTAGCAGTAGTAGTAGTAGTAGTCGTCGTCGAAGTAGAAGCAGTAGTAGAAGTATTAGCAGCAGCAGCAGCAGTACTAGTAGTAGTAGTAGTAGTAGTAGTAGTAGTAGTAGTAGTAGTAGTAGTAGTAGTAGTAGTAGTAGTAGTAGTAGCGCCAGAACCGCCGACGCCACGCCGTAAGTGAAGCAGCAGCAGAAGCAGGCAGCATGTCGCCAAGACAGCAGCAAAGGCAAGCAGGCACGGAGATGAGGGCGGGGCATTTGGGAGTTCTTTACATCTATATATATACATATATATACACACCTACATCTACATCGACACCTACATCTACATCAGGGCTCAAGGTGCCCCACTAAGGGCTCAAGATGGCCCACAGACGGGCAATATGCATGGAACATACGTGCGCACACACACACACACACCTATATAAGTACATATCTATATATATATATACACATAGCAGCAGCAGCAATAGTGGATGCTGTGCTGCGCTATGCTCTGCTCTGCTCTGCTCTGCTCTGCTCTGCTCTGCTCTGCTCTGCTATGCTATGCTATGCTATGCTATGCTATGCTATGCTATGCTATGCTGCGCAATGCTATGCTGGACTAGGCTAGGCTAGGCTAGGCTAGGCTAGGCTAGGCTATGCTATGCTGCGCTATGCTATGCTGCACTATGCTATGCTGCGCTATGCTATGTTATGATATGTTATGCTATGCTATGCTATGATGTTGCTTTGCTTTGCCTTCGTTTTTGCCTTCACTTTTGCCTTTGCTTTTGCTTTTGCTTGTTGGCACCCAGGGAGCGCAACTGGGGGAACCGCGCGTTTGCTTTTACATTTGCTGTTGCTTTTGCAGGCAGAGCCTAGGTAGGGAACAAAACGAACGGCCCACGAGATGGCCAAAACACCGTTTCGGTCCAGCCCCGCCCCACGCCGCCCTCTCCACCGCGACCGCCGCGCCGCACCTGGGCGCACCGCACCCGCCCTCCTCCTCCCCCTCCTCCTCCTCCTCCTCCTCCTCCTCCTCCTCCCCTCCCCCTCCTCCTCCCCCTCCTCCCCTCCCCTCCTCCTCCACAATTACACAATATGAATACTACTCTCCCACTTCCCCTGATGGCGTCCGGAAGATGTTCGGCACCCCCCCGCGTACTGTTTTTTTACACACAGGATTCCCCGGAGTTGGGTTTTCGCTTGTGTTTTTTTCTAAAATGCTGCTCTCGCTGAGGCGCTGGCCTAATTTTCGGGCTCCCGCTCCTTCCGAATCGTGTTCCCGCTGCAGCGCTGGCCTCATTTCCGCGCTCCCGCTCGTTCCGAATCGTGCTCCCGCTGCAGCGCTGGCCCAATTTCTGCGCCTCTCGTTGTTCCAAAACGTGCTCCCGCTGCAGCGCCGACGTTTTCGATCCTTTTTAAGAAGCCCCAAATCTAGAAAATGATCCCCGGCAAAAACATTGGAGGTGACTACACATCCGGTGTCGATTCGTTGATTTTTGGGGCCGCAAAAAGCCCCCCCCCCCTTTTGGGCGGCGTCCTTTTCCGCACAAGATTCCCGGGAGTTTGGTTTTCATCTATGTTTTTGAACATCCGAGTCTTTCCGGTCCTTCAGAATGTTGCTCCCGCTGCAGCGTTCGTCCTATTTTCCGCGCCGCTGGTCGTTCCAAATCGTGCTGCCGCTGCAGTGCAACGGTCCCCGGCCCCATGCTATGATATGCTCCGCTCCAGTGGCGTTCTTCGGCTGTTCAACAATGGTGCTCCCGCTGCAGCGTTGGTCCCATGTCTGCGCCTCTGCTCATTCCAAATCGTGCTGCCGTATTGTTTTCTTGGCACTACGGCACTCTTCGGCTCTTCAACATGTCGCTCCCGCTGCAGCGTCGGTCCCATTTCTGCGCCTCTGGTCGTTCCAGATCGTGCTGCCGCTGCAGCGCATGCGTCCCGCGTCCCATGCTATGACATACTACGCTCAGCATTGCTCTTCTGCGCCATGCTATGACATGCTACGCTCTGCAGTGCTATGGCATGCTACGCTCTGGGCTCCATCGCTGGTGCTTTCAATTGTGTCTTCGTCGTCGTCGTCGTCTTCGTCGTCGTCGTCTTCGTTTTCATCGCGCCGTCGTCCTCCTCCTTTCCCTCTTAGGTAACAGGGTCAGATGCGAAGCCCGATTCGGTGAGAGGACAATGAAGTAGCTCAATGGGAAGGGATGGGAGGGAGGGGTAGGATGTCAGATGTTGACGCGAGCGCACCTAGCTTGCCCTCCTCCTCCTCCTCCCTCCTCCTCCTCCTCCTCCTCCTCCTCCTCCTCCTCCTCCTCCTCCTCCTCCTCCTCCTCCGCCGGGGGCGCGGCCGGCGAAAGGCCGTCCAGGATGGGCCGAGGAGACGAGGATGCAAGGGTGCCCTCGGGAAGGTTGCCCGTCCTCACCGTGCTTGCTGACTGTAGCTCCCAGGCCCGGGCCACGAAGAGAAAGCAGGCAGTGGCAACGCCAACTCATCGTGAAGCCACACAGCTGCAGATACATACTCACGGCAGCGCAAGCGCACAGTTGAAGAAGAGCCGTGGCGCGCAGCGCTGCGTAACGTCTGGAGGAGGGACGGCGGCATTGGTGATCACGAGGGCACTACCATAATCAAAAGCTGAACCCGCTGGACGAACGAGCAAGGGCCTGGCCTGCTTTTTATGCCCGTGTATGCACTGGACCGGGACGTCTATGTAATTCAACAGCTCGTCGTGAAACCTTCGCTGCCCTTTCTGTGTTCTCTACGCCGCTTCCTCACTCCACCCTTGTGAATGTTCCGCTTAGCTTCCGCCAGGCACCCGCGCGATGCCGACCCTTGACTTCGGCAGCCAGTCCTGACGGGCATCCCTGAGCATTGCTCCCCCGAGCCGCATGCAGCGCAAGATACTTTGAAGCCCGCACTGGCCAACGCAGGCTCCTACCTCACTGCGAGTGCGTGTCCCGCTCTCCGCTTTCCCGATCACGGCCGCTCGAAAGGCCTGCCATGCATTCCGCTCGCTTTGAGGCAACCACGAGGCAGGAGCAGCCCCCCTCCCAATTCGGAACTTGACGGCGTTGCACGACGATAAAAACACCATCACCTCGCCCATCCGCCGAATCACTGCTCGCGTATCTGACTCACCGAAGTACGTGCGCACAGCCAACTCACTTCGTTCTGATGTTTTGATTATCTCTATCTCTCTCTCGTGCTCTTGGTCTTGCTCTTGCTCTCTCTCTCTCTCTCTCTCTCTCTCTCGCCAAATAGGCGCAATATCTGTGAATATGCTGTCCTTCGGCCCCCCGGGGCGTCCGCACTGGAATAGCAAAACAGATGGCTCCCACCTCGCACTGCGAGCATCACCCTGGCACGCGCGTCCCTGTGCACATTCCTGGTGACCCAGGGCACGTTCGGAGGACGACCGGGGCCATCGCAGCCAGCATGCCCTGGTCCATCGGCGACGCAGGCAGAAAAAGCGCCGCGCACTGGCATCCAATGATGCGGAGGGGAGCGGAAGCAGCAGCGGGAGGCGGAGAAGGAGATGGTGCTCGGAGCTCCGACGGCACTTCCGCGGTCGCATGGATCCTGAAAGCGACAGTGGAAAAGGTGGGGCACGCTCGGCAGGTGTGAGAAGAGGCCACACGGAGGCTGTCACGGCGTGATGGGTCGAAACGGACAACTCATTGCGACGTCTTCTCTCCCTTCTTCCTGATCCTCCTCCTCCTCCTTTGTGACCCCCGTCCTTCAGCTCTTTA